ATAGATGGTTTCATAGATTATCTGGCTTTAGTTTGTTATCATTATCATAGATGATCCGTTTCATAGATTGGATTCAGATTGTTTATGGATTCATTTATGGTAAACTTTAGTTATACTCTTTTATCAAACTTATCGGCTCAACGCTTTATATCGATCATGTTCTATTTAAGCTCATGATGTTTTCTAATGTTCCATGAGCATCGCTTATTTAGATTGATTATCGATTAGTTTTAATCCTTGATTCAAAGGTCTTCATTCCATGAATGCACTAGATATCGATTATTTAGTCGATAGCCCCATTATACTCTTTTCATCAAACTTATCGGCAACAACGTTTTCCACCTTATATCGATTATTCATGTCAATTGCAGGGTCAAATTGATCGCACGCCTTTGGTCCCGAAACCAACCATTCTATGTTGATGTTTTTGGGTAATCATTCCATGTATGATCATCATTTTATTTCAACACGCTTCATCTTGCCCTCCACTTTTAGCAATGCCCAAAGAATGTTTTCATATGTTCTTCTTAGTGTGCATGACATCAAGATTGTTGATTTCCAGGTGAACTTTTTGGCAGCAGATTTCTCGATTATAAATCACCGGCTCTCCACGCTTTCATTTCCTTTTTCCACCGGCCCTTACCTAGGCGTACATCTTTCACCTTCCCGTCCTTAGTTTTTCCATCAAAATCCAAGCTCTTCCTCTAAGGGTGATCCCAAGGAACGTAACGACGGTGTCCAAGGTAGCCTAGCTTCTTTCTTAGGCTCCTTGACAATGGATTTTTGTCGTAATAAATACATGCATAATAACCTTTTGTAGTTTGGCTTGACAAGGTGCCCAATGCAAGAAAATCGTGTATGCACCAAAGCATGGCAGCGCACAGAATAAACCCTTTCTTATTATCAGGATGTAGTACATGAAAAGTGTTGACACCCTTCTATAGGTCTTTTAGTTCTTTTATAAGAGGCCCCAAAAATACATCAAAATCCTTTCCTGGAGAGGTTGGGCTCGGGATCAGTAGAGACATAAAGCAATCCGATGGGTTCACACATTCCCATGGTGGCAGGTTCAGAGGCATTACAAGAACATGCCACATACTATATGTTGAGCTAAAGTTTCCAAATGGATCATCTGTAAAAGTTTTGTCCTTTTATCAAAGTCCTGCCATGCCTCCCCGTCTGCTGGATGGCTCATTTCACCGGTATTATTCTCTCGCTTAGTCTCATGCCATTCGACGTCCGCTGTTGTTCCTCAAGCAGCAAATATCCTCTGCAACCTCGGTATTAGTGGAAAATGCCTCAAAACCTTATGAGGAACCCGCCTGCTACCATCTGCATCCTCCCATCTAGACTCTTTGCATTTTTGGCACACTTGCAATTTCTTACGATCACCCCAAAACAACACACAGTTGTTCTTGCACACATGGATACTTTCATAACCTTGTCCCAATTCTTGAATATATTTGTGTGCCTCCTCACATGATTTTGGTACGTTGCTCATAGGGAATGCATCCGATAGCAATGCCAATAGTGCATCAAAATAGTTGTTGCTAACTCGATAGTGGGACTTGATATAGAGCAACCTGACAAGGAAGGAGAATCTTGAGAAGGTAGATCCAGAACAAATGATTGCTTCAACTCATCCAACACTCTTTCAAACTTTGGAACTCTTCCAGCTCGCTCTTTAGATGTCAACAGGTTTTGAACTAAATCATCAAAATCTGGTAATATGTTATCGTCGCCATCCTCCTTCTCCTCCTTCGCAATCCAACCATCATGATGAGATCCATGCACATATGATGGCTCTATAATGTCAGTACCTCCTCCCTCTTCCCCATGATGAATCAATGTGGTGTATGTGGGTGACATTCTATATATAAGTAAGTCATCCTTAACCTCCTGCCAAGTTTTATCCACTTGGTTAAGACATTGTGTACACGGGCAAGGAATCTTTTCCCCCGGGTATCTTTATTCAACTATATCCATGAACTCTTCAACTCCTGCAATGAACGTCGGCGAGAATGGTCTCCCATTATGAATCCAGGATCTGTCCATCTATTGTAGCAAAAGTATGCAAAGTTCGTTAGAGTTTAGACCATTGGGTAGACAATGGCAAAACTAGCATTAGAACAAAAAAAATAGTGTTCGAGAGCACTAATCTATGCATTTGTTCATATCATACTATGGGACAGTCTGGTTTTCTATTTTTGTGTGACAAAAGCATTGATTTCAATTAAAATTCATATAGAATAGCCTTTCTTTATGTGTACTTTACTTTATCATGTACAGAAAATGCAGTCCTATAATCACAGAAGAAGGTACTCATACCTTTGTTCTACAAACTGGCATGGCTCGGCTGCAAGCCGCCCCTACCACGGCACACACCTGATCACACGGACGCTAATGCTGCCACGCTCCACCGAGAGAGCCCCGCCACACCACCAAAATGATGCCTGAGCCACCACAGCAGACCGGGGATCCTCCGCCTCCGTCGCCGCCGCAAGTCCAGCGGGCATAGATTTGTTTCCACTTGCAGGGGATATTCAATTAGGTCAACCTGTAGGGCATCCACACAGCCAATAGGATACTATAGCGACTCCAAAGATATGTCAGCACAGTCAGGCGTCTAGCGCAATGGTAAAGGCGCTCCATTTCTTAGTCTAGATCCCGAGTTCGACTCCTAAGTATCAGACCTTTTTGAGAAATTAAACCCCGACGGCACACATGGTACAAGTGACGCGCAAACCGTCGGTCCCACAGGCCGAATGGTGATGAAGAAAGACCCCACAGGTACACATGACACATAAGCCATCAGGTCTTACAGGTGGGATGCAGAAGGACCGAGCAGAGACTTTTACGACGAATTTCAAGCGTCAAGTGACACGCAAACCGTCGGTCCCACAGGTCGGATGGAGATGGGCCATCAAGTCCCACAGGTCGGATAGAGATGGAGAATGGTCCCACAGGTGCACGTGACACGTAAAGTGACACACAAACCGTCAAGTCCCACAGGTCGGATGGAGATGGAGAACAGTCCTACAGGTACACGTGACACGTAAGCCATCGGGTCCCATAGGTCGGATGCTGAAGGGTCCCGCAGGTACACGTCGAATGGAGAAAGGACCGAGCGGAGAATTTTCTGATGAATTGCAAGCGTCACAGATGAGTAGATGCAGGTCCCATAGGTACATGTCGGATGGAGAAGGGTCCCACAGGTACACGTCGCATGGAGAAAGGATCGAGCGGAGACTTTTATGACGAATTGCAAGCGTCATGGATGAGTAGCTGCAGGTCCCACAAGTACACGTCGGATGGAGAAAGTATCGTGTGGAGATCTATGATGAAGCACCATTCGTTACAGATCGAATATTGTTCGTCACAGATGTGTAATTAGTTCAATGATGAAGCCCTGTTTGTCACAGTATTAAAGCAGATCGTCACAGATGAGTCACGTGAGTGATCTGCGACAAAACCCTGTGCTCTTCTATGATGTTTTTTGTGACGATGCCTGATTTCATCATAGATAGGGAGGGTTGGAGGATCATCACCACTGATCTATGACCAAACAGAAATATTCGTCATAAAAAACGCTCTTCTATGATAGTTTCGGATTCGTCATTAAAATTTTCGTCATAGAAGTGAATATTTCTAGTAGTGTGAAACAACCCTATACAGCAGTGATTGTGGCATAGCTGTTCATGGACAACATTATGAAATTACATGGGCTGCCAAGTAGCATTGTTAGTGACAGAGACAAGATCTTTGTCCGTACTTTCTAGAAGCAATTATTCAACCTCTACAAGGTTAACCTGATGCTGTCTACTGCATACCACCCACAAACTGATGACCAAACAGAAAGGATCAATCAATGCCTGGAGATGTACTTGAGGTGCTCAGTTCAGGATTCTCCAAAAAGCTGGAAATCATGGCTATCTTTAGCAGAGCTGTGGTATAACTCCTACCATAGTGCTTTGGGTTGCTCTCGTTGCAAAGCCCTGTATGGGTACGAACCAAATTTGGGCGCCACTCCAGTACCTGTTGGGGATACATCTCAAACAGTCAGAGAAGTTGTATCTCAAAGGGAAGAACATCTGAAGCTCCTCAAACAAAGACTGGAATAGGCTCAAAATAGAATGAAGATACAAGCTGACAAGCACAGGTCAGACAGACAGCTTGCAGTTGGCGATCAGGTTTTGCTCAAACTGCAACCTTACACTCAGTCATCGGTTGCCCGTAGACCTTTCCCAAAGCTTGCTTACAAGTTTTTTGACCCTTATAAGATACTGGAGAGGATTGGTGCTGTTGCATACAAACTCGAGTTACCTGCTCACAGTGAGATTCACCTGGTGTTCCACATCTCCTAGCTCAAGCCATTTACACCTGATTACACCCCTGTCGACTGATCTACAGGCTACTGATCAGTACCAGAGCAAATTCTCCAACGCCGTCTGGTCAAAAAGGGTAATGTTGCTATACCACAGGTTTTGGTTACTTGGTCAGGATTACCATCGTCCTCAGCCACTTGGGAAGATCACAATGTGCTCAAGAATCGGTTCCAGAGGCGCCTGCTTGGGGACAAGCAGATCCTTCGGCCGGGGGAGGTGTCAAGACTCAGGGGTGAAGGCGTAACAGGCGCAAGGCGTCACTAGTTATCGAAAGCGTCTATTTCGTTAGTTGCTCTATGTAATAGTCTATGACTGTTGGGTCCCACGGACCAGTCATCTACCTGCCTTATATTCTCGCACTGTGGCTTGTAAGACAATTAAGAATATTTTGCTATTGAGTAAATCGTAAGACAGAGCTTCCTCTGCTCTCTTCCTCGTCGGCAATAATCATCTTGTCTCTCACGTCTCCGGCGAACGCCGTCGGTGGCCACGGGTTTTACACATACCAGATGCCGAGACAGGAGGTTGGGTTTGAGCAAACCCAAGCTCGCTATCCCGTGGGATCGATGCAACGCCGTGCCCCTTGGGCCCATCGGTGGGAAGTCCGGCCGCAGACTAAATGGCCACCGATGCAGGAGAGGTGAAGATGCCCGGGTGGTGCGACGATGTGTCGAACACCATGTGGTCGTAGAGCTTCGACACCTTCTGAACCTTGAGTCGCAGATCATCGACGACGCCCTCGACTTCGGGACGCCATGAACCGAGATCCACCGCGGCTGCTTCCAGGGCGGTGACGCGAGCGTCCCGCTTGTCGGCGATGGGGTCGACGCGGATCAGCTCGAGCTCGGAGAGGCGCTTGGAGACGACTGCTTCATGGTCGGACTGAGACGACTCCAGCGCGTCGAGGCGGTCGGTGATGGCGGAGGATAGCGACGACGCGCGCGAGGACTCCAACGCGGCGAGGCGCTGATCAACCGCAGCAGCACGATCCGCTCGATCCTTCTGTAGATCGGCGAAACGCTTCTCCCAGCTGGTCTCGTGATCGTCGAAGCGGCGATTGATCTGGTCGGGTACAAGCTTTAGGTTGGGATCCATGACACCGAGCTGTCGTTGCCGCCGAGTGTAGTGGGGATGATCGGCGGCAGATACGTCGGCCAGGATGGGGACAGGGTAAGGAGCAGAGTTTGGGAAGGTGGGGATCGGAGGTAGACGTCTGATACCAGATGCTAGCAGTAACGTGGAGAAGAATAAGTAGCCGGGAGAACAGAGTAGGCGAGGAATGATTAGAGTTTAGAAACAGAATTCGGTTACATCAATGTTCATAATGCTCTTCTTGCCATCTCTCTACTTAAGTAGTAACCGACTACTCCCACTCGGGGCCAGACACACGAACGTTGGGCCTCTTGACTCGCACGGGCCTGGACTCCTGATCCTGGGCCGGTCCATCAGCAACTGCATTGTCTTGTCCATTGCCTTCCTCTATTGCCGTATCCGGAACAGTGATAACAAATCGGTCACCTCGTCGTGCGCCGACCGCGCCATCTGCCGAGCCTGCGGCGGCGGCGGTGGAGAGGGTTCGGTCGCCGGAAGTGGAGGACCGGCCGGGGACTGGTGGGACCGGCCGGCGGCGGTTATGATTTACTTGTTGCCTTTGTCACTCTGCTTCAGCGTCCGTTTGCGAATTTTCTTTGCTTCAGTTCAGCGTGACTTGGTGAAACGAATACGTTGCTGCTCCTTTTCTTCGCTCCACCTAGCACTAGCACTTGTCTTCGATGCGCTCTGTCGCTGTCCATGTCCGCTCCACTTGGGTTTCTGGTTTCAGACCAAGCTAATAACTGATTGAAGGCTTGAAACCTACCTGGGACTGGGATAGGCTTGCTATTTCTCCTTGGAGATCGTTGTGTCAAAGATGCAGCTCACTGAGAGGTGATGCTTAGGTTCGTCAAAAGGAAAAAGATGGTAGGAATGTTTCTTGGCCATCGAAAGTTGGAAACTTGCAATGTTTCATGGCTATGAGGTAAAAGGTGCCCTTTAGACTAAAATAATGAACTAGTACAGAAGCAAGTCAATACTTTTTTTCTGAAACTGCAACTTTAATTAGTTGACATGAGGTAGTAACATTTATGTTACCTTGTACGTTATTGTGGCTATGGTATATAACCTTGAAGGTTGTTATCGTTTAGGTACAACTGTTGCAGCCACGGAAGATTTCCAAAGCTGGCTGGTATGAGACCCTCAAGTTCATTTCCATGTAAGTCGATGTATTCCAACCGAGTTAGGTTGTCGACCAATCCTTCAATCGTACCGCTAAAATAGTTTTCACCTAAATCCAACAAAGTTAAGGCACTAAGATTTCCTATACCCCGTGGAATGTGTCCTGACAAGTTGTTTCCAGCAAAGTCAAGATATTCAAGGTTGGTCGTCGATAGGTTACCGATCGACTGCGGTATAGGTCCCTGCAGCTCATTGTAAGAGAGTGAGAGAGAGTTAAGAGATCTACAGTTTTGTAGTGCACTCAGAAATGCCCAGTCCTGGTTGTTCCTTGCTACAAGCTGGTTGTACTCGAGGTTTAGGTCAGTCAAATTTGCTAGTTTTCCGAAAGCGGTGGAAATTTGTCCCATGAGTTTGTTATGTGATAAATCTATATCTTGTAGCCCTAGAGCATTGCCTAGGGAAGCTGGGATGGCACCCTCAAATGTGTTATTTTTCAATGAAAGTTCTATGAGATTGGGAAGAAGTTCTCCAATGTTAGGTGGCAATGCCTTGCCTACCAGCATATTATTCCCTAGATATAGGTATTGTAGAGAAGATAGACTAAAGACGGCATAGGGAACTTCACCTGAAAGCCTATTGTCACTTAGGTCCAAGGTTTCTAAATTTCACCAATTGGCCAAGCTCATCAGGAATTCTTCCCTCGAGTTGATTTGAACCCAAAGAGAGATATACTAGATTTGATAGTAGGCCTAATTTCGGCGTGATTGAACCCACTAGCATGTTTGAAGATAAGTCTAAGTCGATTAAGTTGGAGCAATTAGTAAGTGCATCTGGAATGATCCCAGACAAATTGTTCCCGTACAAGTCAAGCTCCTGATGATGCTGCAGGCGGCCAAGGAGAGGCAAGGGACCAGTAAAGTTATTTGCAGAGAGGTAAAGTTTGTGGATGAAAGTAATGTTGCCAAGGAAAGAGCTGATTTGGCCTGACAAACTCTGAGCGGAGAGGTCGAGTCTCGAGACACGGTATGGTCGCGTCGAGTGGCACGTGACACCATTCCACAGGCAGAAGTGGGAGCTCGTTCCAGTTGCTCAAGGCTCCATGTGGATCGCATGTGACACCCTGCTTGAAATGGAGTAGCGAGCGAAGATTTTGGCTGCTCTCGTCAACTCTCGAACAATGGATGTTGGAAACTCCTCCATAACACAAGAGCAGCAAGGGCATAGGAAGACTAACCCAAAGCCAGGAGGCACCAACGATGCCTTATAGCCTTTTGATTTGATCTGCTTGGAACTGCCGGCTGGTTGATGGTGTGACAGCTGTGTTTGTTTGGATGCTGTGACTGTGTGTGATGGAGGCTGCTGGATGAGGCCATACGTGGTTTTAAGAACAGGTCTCACGGCCTCCTACTGCTACTTTACCTAATCTTGACCGCGGTCGTCCTCATACTTGTACTTTAACGTGACCTCCGTTGCTGCGAAGACCGAAGACCTTGCACTACCACAATCCTGAATTTCCTTGAGTGCTAAAAATTTTCTTGAAGAAAAGAATACATAGTTTCCTTGGCGGTGCTACTAAACTCTCAATTTTGTTCGTCAATCAGATTTGCTAGTTTAATAAAGACCAGATGACTTAACTGTTTCAACAAGTGCTGTGCTGTTGCAGACTTGCAGTTGGATTGGGACACGCTTCCAGCTTGGGGATCCTCTCCAGCTCAGGTTCTACCTCTCCATATTCATTTCGAGTAGATTTTACAAACACATTCATTTTGGATTCATGACACAAAAAATGGAGTTACGCTTACCCATCGCGGGTAGATTATCAAACAGAAATCATGGTTACAACTCGACTTGTGTCGATTCAGCAGGCAGATCAGTAAGCTCCTTACCTCTCTATCATACAGCAAAATCAGAAATCAACGCTTACAGGACCTGATGCTCCGCTAAACGTGTCCAGAACAAAGCCAAAACAGAAAAGAGAAGCTAGTAGCCTTGAGCGTGTAAGCGTATGGGTCAAAACTGGAGACATGGTCTTCAGCTCCATCCAATCATCCCTGGCACGTGCGTTCATCACGTATGTGGAACATAAGCTGTAATGATGTCACCAGCTATCAGTAAAAGGGGGCACAAATGGTGAACGAAATTGATTAGTGAGCGATCACCTTAACACCCACGTAGAAGGTAGTAAATATGAAGGCAAGGGCAGGCATGGCTGCAAAATGGGAACGTGTATCAACCACAAAGGCCACTGGACCATGTACATCTGAATGAAATTCATCGCAACTTATGGGTGTGAAATTGCAACTCACCATCCTTCCCAATCATTTTTGAGATCAGAAGTTTAATCCCAGATGGTCCCACAACATAACCGACAAGGTTTGCCACCTGTGCACGAAACATCTCAGAAATAGCATTGACATGTAACAATGTAAGAATGGCTGATCTGATGTACAGCTGGATTTCCTTTATGCCCGCCATTGTCCAAATGATCATGGCACATTGGAATTTTCCATTAAATATTACATGAATGATTTCATGAAGTCTCTTAGTATTTTCTTGGTTATGTATTGTTCAATATCTTCTATGCTTTTACTGCTACTAGGAGATCAGGTAATAATTGCATGCATTCTTTTAGCTGCGCATGCAGAAACAGATATAGAACATACCATAAGAAAGCTGATTGTCACAGCACCAGCAATTGCTTTAAATTCACGATGAACAAGGATCCCAAGGGTACTACTTGCCTCCAAAAAAATTGAATATATATTAGATGGTAGCATTGTTAAATTTCCATGAAACATTTTGCAAGAATGCCAAAATATCCAGGCATCTTAGAAAAATCATTCCAGCGGATGTCTTGAAATCTTTTTTATACCATATATATTGGCATGGAGTTATTTAGATCCTCAATAAATATACCATCCTTAACTCAAATCAAAACTACAAAATGGATCAATTTTATCAAACAAAGACAACTTGATATGTTTTAAGTAAATTTAGTATCTTACTGTAGCTTTTTAAACTAGATTGTAGTAACTTCTAAGAGACACAGCAGGTCTACCGATCACAGTTCTCTAAAGAAACTTTACCTGAAATTTGTTAGACAGAGATTTGACCAATATCTCTGGAACAAAAAATAAGCAAGTTAACCACGCCCATGAAACAAGTTTCCTGTTTAGGCAATCAAATAGAACAATCCAAGTCATTACATCTGATGTATCAACAGAGTATGATGTATCAACAGAGTAAGCAAGCATGTCAACTGTAAAATCTGCAGAAGCTACCATTCCAAATCATGCCACACTGCTACAAACGTGAATATCACCCAGATACTCAGTAGCTTTCTTCGAGAACCACCAAGAGGAATGTACAAGTACCTGCAATAACCAAGAAGCCAATCAAACAAAGCAACATGGACTAATCAATGTCTGTATATTGGTCCATGTACCAACTCTACTAGTATAGACATGTACCAACTCTATATACAAGCTTCATGCATGGGATTAAAAAATATGGTGTACATGGATGCAAAACTATAAAGTAAACATTTGTTGCAGCTTCCATGTGCATCAATCAAAGAATTGTGAAGTTATAACCAGAAATGAACTATATATTACTTCAAGCAAAACCAAAAAAGAAAAAAACAAGACAAATACAAACGTCCCCAGGAGATATATGTGGTAACCCAGAACAGATTTAAATCACCTGACACGTACCTAACCAACCATCTGTTAAAAGAAGCATGCCAGCTTTTCCAGAAACTCTCCAGATCGTGGCAGTTATTTATGCACCTAGGCATGTTTTCAGGTGTCTCGACTCCTCCAACCTGAGATGAAGTGCTCAGCTTTAAATTTTATCAAAAAATAACATAAAACAGATGCTGAGATCAGAACAAAGTTGTGTTGATACCGACGCTATCTTTTACATATTTACATAAATAATTGTTCGAGACAAATAAAACATATAATAATGTACGTCAGAGTAGTACTGAATACAAAATTTAAATATTGAAGTACCAGTGACCAAAGCCGGAAGTAGTGCCAAATAAGAAAGAATTTCAACCACATAAAGTTTAAAACCTGCATTGAAAAGTTTGAGAAGCCAATGAGCTTGATTATTAACCAAATGAACCAAGCCAACAAAGCAGCTACAGAATGTTAGCTAAGAACAGAGGTATAACACATACTGACGTTGGACATAAAACCAACCCAGACAGTAATACAAAAATGAAAAGCCATGATGCTCTGATAGGTGGTGCAAGAAAACTTATATACAGGTAATCAATTAACAAAATCTAACAAATAAGGAACAATGCAAATATTGGTTCGCATTGACTAAAAAGGAGACAAATAAAATTCCATAAGTGTCAAAGTCAGAAGTAAGGCCTGGAGGCTGGAGCACTTACAGGAAATATAATATGTATGTTATAATGTAATCTTTTTTCTGAGAATGTACAATATAATCTTACCCCATAACTGATGATGAAGATCTCAAATGGGGATAAGTGCTGCCATAATCGGCTGTTGTCAGAATATTTAATTCAAATTTCAGAATATAGTATATAACCATTATAGGAAGGAATAAAAAGTTAACCACACAGTATGAAGACAAGCAAATACCTTACTACAAAGGCATTGTAGTGGAAAAAGTGTGTCATGCCTTCCATAATGAGGAAATTTAAGATCCACCTCAGGCCATACAAAGATATTTGTGCAAATGAATAATTTTTCTGAGGTACCTCTAACTGCAAGATCGCTACATCACAAACAGGTTAGTATGCATAACTACTGGGACATTTCTATGGAATACTACTATTAAAGCGCTACATGAATTAGAAACACAACCGAAATTCATCTCCAAAACTCTGCATGCAATTTCTTAAGTTGCCCAGAAAAATATGAGGTAACTTAAATAAAGACTGGAATTCACGATAACCAATGGTATATTACAATTAGCCATATCCAAATTCAAATTGAAAATGCCTTCCATATTTCTTTCATTCTTTGTCTTGAAAGGAAATCCAGAGTTCCAGACTAAACATCTCCCACGCTATAGATTGGCCTATTTCCTTTGAACTCCATTTTAGAAATTCTACAGCTTATATGGCAAGGTGTGTGCAAGAATAGATAGAACTTACTGGGTACCATATACCAGTTGATACCATTATGCTGAATGGTACAAAACTAAAAACTACAACCTCCTTGCAGAATTATGCAAGTGTAACTGTGTAAGGCAATTGGTTACACCATTTTTTTAATAAAGCAATTTGACAATACAAACTAAGAATATGTTCATCATGTAAAATGGTTTTCATTTCTTAACGCATAACTCATATATGAAATATCATTCTAAAGTGCTTCTTCTGCTTTCACCTTGATAACAAAACAGATTCATCAATAAAAAAAACTACCTATAGGGGAAAAACCAACCTGAGCAGCAAAGGCATTGTATCCAACAATAGGACCAGCAATGTAGAGTGGAGCATATGTCAAGTAGCATAAATACGTGAGGAAAGTGTACCTGTCAACACTGAGCCCTCTTTCCTGCCAAGAACATTACTTCTATCACTGGAGCGAAAAACAGATAGACATATCGTTCATCTTCATAAGGAATTGATTAAGCTAAATAGTAACAGATGCTAAATAAAAATCAACAAAATATAATATAATATACCATAGTGCAAACTATAAAACAAAATGTCAGGGCCCACCGGCCCACTTTACAGACAACCTAGAAGATGTATTTTATATTCACCAACAGGCCTAATCATTCCTTAGTAAGTATTCTTCCACATCTTTACTTGGGAGGCCTTATTGCTCTCCCCAAACAAATCGCTATGCCAGTCAGTCGATAAGCAAAATAAAAGGAGCTGGCTCCTAACATATCTAGATTTAAAACATACTAGTTTTGTTCTTGCCCATGTAATTATCCAGTTCTCATGAACACCCTCTTACATGTGTCTAGAACTAACAGTGGTGTATCATGTACCACCTTAGCACGTTAAGCAAAAATAGATACAAGAAAAATTGGACGAATAAAATACCTGCAAAGCAAAGTAGCATGTTTTGCCAGAATAACAAACCTGACATCTTTGCATATGTTTCTGCACCGAGAGTGCTCATGTTAGTATACTACAGTATTGAGCAAGATAGTGCATTTTGTGTATATGAAAGCCAGTACATCAACACATGTAACTATATCAAAGGTACAGTTAAGAAAATATAGAGATGCAGATATCCATGACAACTATGAGCAAAAATTATTCCTTTACAAAATAAGGCCGATTCTAAACATTGTTTTGAAACCTGAGTTTCATACAGATTCTGTCAGATATCAGATACACTACAGTCCAACAAGTATGTCAAGCTAGACAGATCAACTTTCTCAAACATTAAAGATCTGATGCTGAAAAACTAACATGTACAGAAAAGGTATGACATTAGGGAACATAGTACCTTGTGATCAAAGCGAGAAGAATGAACTGTCCAGCAGTAATCACATCCAAAGCTAATCATCCGTAATACAACTGCCACAGGAAATTAGAAAGTTGCCAATATTGAGTCAAGTAAACTAGACATACTTGATGTCACATAAACGCAGACGTCTAACTGAGTATAAAATTGGCACAATACTTATGACAAATGAATACAAAGAAACTCTTGTGATAGATGGATCAAGCCTAATGCAACTTGAGACAATACATGCCTTAGTTTTAGGCATGTTGCAAGATAATCACCAAAATTAAGTAGCCCAGATCAATGGCATGTGACCTCACAGCAACGAGAGAATAAATAGTTCCATTGAACGGCAAAAGCGAGTATCTCGTTTCTTAATTCAATGGTTTAAAAGTTTTAATGAGACATGGGGTTTGGTATTCTGGGAACATGTTCATATAAATTGGGATAATAATTATCGATAGCTGATAATCAGTGGACCAACAAATCTAAAACATACCTTAAGAAAAAAAAAACTGAAAACACTAGTCCTTTTCAAGTCAACACAGAATCTTTCATGGCTTCCCAGATCTGAAGAGAAACTAATTTGAAGAGCTAAAGTAAACTTCTATATACAAATGCACAGAATACATAGATTATTTCGATCAAATAAGAGTATAAGACAACATAAGTTGAAGCATACCAAAATTGAAGCATATGTGCCATCGAAATGTACCCCGATAATTGTCTAGAAAAGCCAGATTTTGCCTGTTTCAATATGAAAGTTAAATCTCATCAAATAAAATGAAAAGAGACTTTAGAAAAAAGACCCTCCTGCACCATTCGAGAAAAAAAAGGAGGGGAAGATGAAGCAGCAGCATAAAGAATCTAACCCGAACAATGAGAATGAATAGCCTTCATAAACTCGGTTAAGAACAAGAACAGATAAGTTGAAGCTCCAAATGAGGCTTGTGCAATACTTATAATGAGCAAATAGCTGTAAAATATAGAACTATGATCAGCCAGAGAATGAAGCAGACATTAACCAAAATTATGGTAGCAAAAGTTCCAGATCCATTCATGATTGGTTTTAACTGATCCATGGGACTTAGCAGCTAGTGATGTCACAAAACAAACCAAGTGGCATTGTGCACTGGATTATGGATATAATAAATTCACAGATTTAAAAACACATAATTACAATATGGCATCTTCTTTAATCTGTTTACCGCCTACTCGATATTATGTGTATCAATGACTGGAGTCATTTCGTGCTTTTGACACAACGTTCAGATCACACACAGTTTCCCGAAAAGGTTCATCAACTCTGAAACAAAACAGTAGCTGTTTGTTGTACTGACAATAACTCAATGAGATCAGATTCTTCCATCTAAGTTCATATGTAGTACTTTTTGTAACAAACAACGTGGACAAAATGACTAAGACCAGTGGCGGAGCTCATCAGTTGCCACGCCTAGGGCCACTGCCTCTCCTCCCTCTTTGCTGGGCCGGGAGTTGACAAGATTTGGCCCAAAACAACATATAGTATAAGGGGGATTTTGGGCCACGCCTAGGGCCATGGCCCTAGTGGCCCTAGGCCCAAATCCGCCCCTGACTAAGACAGTTTGAAGTTAAAACAACAGCGGTGGAACATGCAGGCACTGACCTTGACAATAGAGTAATTAATCGATGAAATTAAGAGAATGAAGACAACACTGCCATGAAAACAAACAAGTTAGAGGATTACAAAAGGGATGACAAAGAAGCCAAAACAAAATGGGCTGGCGAGTTGCATACCAAGCACCGTGAAGATAACACAGATAGCTCAAGGACAGCACAAGCCACAACAGGGCGGTCCCTCGCCCTTTCAAGCCATAGCAGTATCGCAGTCCATTAACTAACACCAGAAATGTTCCCATTACAGCGGACAGAATAGGCAAGTTCCCGCGGAAGTTCCTCCATTGCGCGTCGGACAGGTCCTGCGACAGAAGGCAAACGAGATCAAACAGGCAGCTCCTCAGTCTTCAGATGAGAGACAGAACACTAGCAGAGAGACTGGCGAAACGTCACGCACATTCAGATGCCCCGAAAGTGACCCCGCGCGTAGTCCGTAGAGCCTCCCGGAGTAATCTGCACCACCCGCAAAGCAGCTGTGTGACGAGCGGCAATCGTTGACAGAGAAGGTAACGGAACGGGAGGGGTGAGGGCTGCTGCCGCCTCCGTACCGTGCGAGAGGCGAAGCGATTTCCGGATCATGACGAGGTAGAACCCCAGCGCGTAGACGACGAGCGCGGCGAGCTCCACCCGCTTCCAGGGCACGCCGCCCATCTCCGCCCCGACCTCGAGCCTCCCCCCGCCTGGGAAATGGGGGCAGCGACCAGCGAGCTGCGGGAGACACCAGCCGAGGAAGGGCCCCGCCTAGCGGCGAATGCGCGGCTGTAGCCAGGAGCAGAGGCAGCGGGACGACCGAGATCCGGGGTCAAACGGCAGCAGCGGACGCCGCCGCACGAACGGGACGATCCAGGCGGAAAGGCAGAGCTAGGCTGAAAACGGTCGGAAACGATCAGCAGGAGGTTAAATCATTTTCATTTTCATATTATTTTCTCAAAAATAAAATCGATACGATATTAGCGGAAACGAATACGGTGTCAATATTCCGGTAATTTCGGAAACGAAACTATTTGTTCGAAAGTGCATAGACAACGATCGAAAATCATCAAAGCGGTATCTGAAATACGATAAACACGTCATTCTGCAGCATGACAATAGCTATATAGCTTGACACATAGTTATACTTGATACGAAAGAACCAAAAGTGACAAAAGCCATAAGCCCACAACCACAAGTTCTAACGTCCTGGACTTAAGAGTTAGATCACATGAGCACACAAGCTGACAGCCACATAGACATATTAGCCACTCACAAACTTACATACCAGTACACTCGTAATCGAACCAAGTTCTTAGTTTGATACTTGGACTTGTCTGAATTCTGGAGGAATCTGAATGGTTTGGAGGAATGCTGGAGGAATTTGTGAGAGGAAAACACTGTTCCAGATGAAAAAATAAGCGGATCAAGCCGGATTTAAGGGCACGCGAACGGGGCCTTAAAAAGGATAGAAACGAGGAATAATGCAAGAGACATGATTTTTGCGTGAGAATAAGGCTAGCAAGGAGAGCGCTCAACACTCAGTAGGCTGGGCCTAGTCTATGATTCAGGAAGAGCCAGGGATGGCGTTGTGGGCTCATGGCCTGCCTGGGATTGGTAATTATCGACGGTAGAATACTGGCTAATTACGGTATTTTTCGAAAACGGTCGGAAGTGAGGCAAATCATTTTCGTTTTCATTACCGTATAGTTTTACCATTCTCATTTTCGTTTCCTCGGTTACCGTCACCACTTTCATTTAGGAGCAAAAGTCGGTAATTTTTCAAAAACGATTCCCGGTAAACGGAAATTATCGTTATCGTTTTCAGCCCTAGAGCTAGCGGCCACGGCGAGGCCTGAACTTGGGACGCTGGGAAGAGAGTTCAGGTAGGCCCCACCGGATCATCCGACGCGTGGGCCCAGTGTGACGACCTTGTGCGCCATTCATTCAGCAGCAGAAGACGGGATAGAATTAGAAGGAACCTGGTGGACCATTTGGGCCTCTCAAGCCATATAAAGCCATGTAAGAGCATCTCTAGCAGGGCCCCTACTTGAGCCCTCATAACTAAATATGGGGTCTTAGACCAAAAATCTCACTTCAGCAGGACCCCTACTATGGACCCCAAATTTGTTGGGTCAACAAAATCCACCCCACAGCCAACAGATTTGTTAGGTCAGCTTCAGCCCCGATCCGGCAGTTTCGTCTGGTTTTTTGCCCGCGCGCGCGATTTCTTCCCACGCTCGCCCCTCCCGCCCACTCGCGCGTCATTTTTCCCCAGCGCGCGCCGCTAGGGTTCGCAGCACACCGTCAATCCTCCACTCGGTTTCTTGTGCGAGCGTCCCTCGATTCCCTCGGCGAGCTGTGACCTCCGCCCCCTGCGAATCCCCCTGCGAGGCGTGACCCCCGGCGCCGCGAGCGTCCGGTGACTTCCCTGGCAAGATGCGACCACCGCCCCCTGCGAATCCCCTGCGAGGCGCGACCTCTAGCTCCGGCGACTCTCCCATCGAAGGTACGACTGAAGCCGTTGCTTCCTGGTCCTTTCGAGCTCGCGCAGAATAGAGGCATATGCAGCAGGCTGCTCAATCGTAGCCATGTATGGCGCGCGTAGGGAGAGGTGTATTGCATCAGGGAGCGCACGCGTGGAGAACATGCTGCTCTGCTGCTTCCTTTCTACGTTACAAGCCTGAATGAGCTGTATCTAATTTGGATCCTACTAGTGTGGTACTGTATGATGTGATGTTTTTTTAATCCTATCCAATTTGGATCCTAGTAGTAGTAGTGTGAAATTAAACTGGCTTGCTGCATGTGTTGTCCATGTGTACTAAAATAACTGCTTTCAGCTTGTTACTCCACACATTTATGCAAACTCTAGATGGTTGGGAGCCCAAAACATTAATTATGTGTTTTTTTATATAGTTTGTGATATGCCGTAGGGAGGTCCTTGGTCACATATGGTTTTCGGCGAATTTGAGATTGATGACATTGAAATTTCACCTAGTCAACCTAGTGCACCAAAGAAGAAGGCAATTCGTGCTGCTAACTACTCTCTGGATGAAGACATCCAATTGTGTGAATCTTGGGAGAACATAAGTTTGGATTCTATCACTGGAAATGAGCAACCTGGCAAGGCCTATTGGAAGCGAATTCATGATAACTTTCATGTGAACAAAAAATTTGCATCTGATAGGAATGCGAACTCTCTTGAGCATCGGTGGGCGAACAAATGGACTATAGCTTGATAGAGAAATTTCTTTCAAACAAAGAGAAAGTTAGAGAGGATAGGTGGCAAGAGAACAAGATGATGCATGAGCGCAGATTAGCACTTGAAGAGCGCAAGATTGCAAATGAGGAGGACAAAACGCTATGGGAGAAAGAACAAAAGATTATGTTTTGTGATCTTAAGAAATTAGACCCCTCCCAGAAGACATATGTGATAGCAATGAGGGCTCAGATTGCAGCACAAAAGATGGCGGCCTTCAGCAGCGCTTTCGCTGGTAGCAGTGGAGGACATGAAGCTAGTGGTGGAGGAGAAATTTGATATTGAAGCGGTGGAGGACATGGTAGCAGGTTGCAGGCTATTAGTGTTTTCATTTGATAATGATGTAATGAACTATTACTATGCCTGTTGATTTTGGGATCTATTGCCTGACTGAAGTAGCACAATCAGTCAATGCAAGTTGTAGGCTTGCACCTCTAGTTTCAGTTCATTGCAGTTCTAGTTTATTGCAGAGGCTTTTGAACTATTGCTGCAGCTCTATTCTTTTGGATGTCGTCAAATCTGAACCAAATTTATGTTTGAATTTAAATTTGAATATTAGCATTTTTCGTTTATTATTTTACGCATGGTGCTTTATTGATATAGTTCAAATAAATTATTATATATATGATGTTCTCAAATACATATATGCTCATGTGTGTGAGGAAATAGAGGAATTAAGATAGGCGCTTTGATTTGGGGGCTCCTGCTGGAGTTCAACCTAGAAAATAGGGCCAACAAAAATTGGGGGAGCACCCAAATAAAAAGTAGGGGCCCTGTTTTGGGAGCTATTGCTGGAGTTGCTCTAACGGGCTAGGTTTTAATGGGTTGTGTGCTGTGCTAGGATCAGCAGTAGTTGAAATTGAGAGCCTCTTTGGCAGGGGAGCTGTGCCAAACGCTTGTTTTGTAAAAGGCTCTGCATGGGGAGCCGGAGCCATTTTTTGTAAACGAGCTTCGCGCGGCTCCTTGCTGTGGGTTCACGTCGTCTAGTGCAAAGGAGCCGTTTTGCCAAACGTTTTTCAGAACGGCTTCAGCTCCTCCAAAGGAGCTGCTCCTTCAGAGGAGCCAGAGCCGGAGCCATTTTTAGAGGAGCCAAAGCTCTGCCAAACAGGCCCTGAATCTACTCAGAACTCTCGCCCGTGCTTTCCCCTCTCTACAGTGCTCAAAGGCGAACAGCGGGCGATTTCTCAATCCCGGCCTGTTCCTCACCGGATCTCTCGCCTCTGTCGGCGTCTCCAGCGTCGGGAGGTGAGGTATTTGATTGAGGGCAGGTGCGGTTGTCTGTTACTACTAATTATATGTTATAGTTTGAGTAGTTTAGGGTTACCTTCGGTGGCATCCATGCGACGCCATCCGAGGTCTTTGGTCCTCCATGTCGATGCTGATGAAGGCGGCGATGGCTCCCTCATCGCTGCAGCCTGGAGGTTAATAAGGTGTGAGCTCGTCGGATCTAGAGTTCTGGTGGGTGCTCTAGATCTCATCGGGTTATCTTTTTGTCCCTCCCTCATTTCTGTCGGCGCCGGCACTGATGATGGACTCTCCGATGGAAATATTGGGAGGTATGTCTACCAACTTGTGGAACTGGGTTGTTTTTTAGCTCCCACCTCTTCTGATGGTTTGCTTCCCCTTCTGGGTGTATCATCTTCCGGCGAGCCGGGGTTGATGAGGCGCCAGATTCCTTGTTCTCCGGCGATGTGGTGGCCGCTGGCCATCTGGCTCAGCCTAGATGTTCAACAATTACAAAGCATGTCGGTGTTTCTGATGTGCTACACTTGGTGGCACTGAAAATCTCTGATGTTCCTTCGTCGGGAAGCTGGTCGGCTTCAAGGCTCCTGCTCCGACCATCGGCGACGAGGACGACCGGGAGAATCCTGCAATGACTTGGATGTAATTTTCCTTTATTTCGAGGGTGTCTTTGTAAGATTTGGGATGTAAACTATCAAAAATATATGTGAAATATAAACCCGGTTTCTCAAAAAAAACTGAATCTACACTACTAATTCACCAACTTTTTTTTCTAGATCCACACTAAAAAACATCCCCCGCTGAGAAGCCCCTCCTCCATCCACCCAAAAAAGTGAACCCAAAAAAACAACATCTTCAAAATGGACTCTTCTACCCTACTAATTAACCAATATTTTCTTTCCTCGATCCACACTATAAAAATGTCCCCCGCTGAGAAGCCTCTCCTCCATCCACCCAGAAAAACAACATCTTCAAAATAGACTCTCTAGATTTAATCTGTGCATTCTCACTAATCCAAGGGCCAAGATCGCGTGTCAACCTCCTCATCCCTCCCATCTCCCATACCCACGCCCAGCCCATCACACCCGCACCATGCAGTCACGTTTCGATTCCTAGGTAACTTCTTTTTTTTCAAGATTTTTTTACATCAACGCGAGCGACTCCTTCCCCTCCCCTCGAGACCTCTCGTGAGTCGCGACAAGGCCAGAGGCGGCGCCTCCCTCTCCGCCCACAGCAACCCTCTCCGGCCGACACCTCCATCTTCCACTCCGACCGGCAAGACACCCCTCTCTCCATCCTCGTCGAGCACCTCCGTCTCCTTCTCCTAGTCCGATGGACGGATAGGGTTTCGGCCGGCGGCGACCGCGCCTCTCTCCCTCGCCTACATCGGTCAACAGCACCACTCGTCGGAACACTAGCCGCCGCCACTAGGCGCGGGCTCCCTGACCGGTCACGCCTCTGTCTCCCATGCCGGTCGGCCCCTCTAGCTCCGGCCATCGTCTTCTAGCGATCTAGCAGCCCTCGTTTATCATCTTCCTCGTGCAGGTGTGTTATATTCTCTTGATTGGATCAAAATGTTTAGGGGTTGCAAGGTAACATAATCAGTTATGAACATTTGTTTACCATCTTCCCCTTGTAAGTGTGTTATTCTCTTGATTAGATCGATATGTTTAGGGGCTGCAAGGCAACATAACCAGTTCTGAACATTTGTTGTTGTTTCCAGATTGCTACTTTGCAAAGAAGGCATGGGAGCAGTGGCAATCCTTGTCATTGATGACAAAGACGAACCTCTAATTACAGTGGACAACCTTGAGGAGAGTGGCAACACAGATTATTTAGAGAACATCACTATTCCTTTGACGTTAATAACCAAGAGCTTTTGGGACAGGCTCAAGAAAGCAATTGACAATGGTGACATGGTTAATGTGAACCAAGGTTCAAAAAGGCGCAACTAGGCGCTCGCCTAGGCGCGCTTATGCGCTAGGCAAAGGGGTGCCGCCTCGCCTAAGGGGGTAGGCGGAGGATAGGCGCGGCCAGGAGGAGGGCGGGCGCTGGCGCGGCCAAGAGGTGGCAGGCGGTGAGCGGAGGCTGGGGTACGGCTAGGAAGAAGGCGGGTTGCGGGCACGGTTGTGACGGCGGATACCAATGTCCGGCGGCAGTGGAGACGGTGGACACGCGGCCGCGGAGACGGCAGGTGCAGCCAAGAGGGGCGTCGGAGGAGGAAGGAGGCGTGACGCGCGCATCAGTAGAGAAGAGGGGAGGAGGCACGCCGCTCGAACACGTGCGAGCAGCAGAGACGGGAAGCAGAGTAGCGAGGCGGAGAAAACAGAGTATGGTGAATAGATAAGGTTCTGCAGCTGGGAGAAGGATGGTGGATGGATAAGGTGGAAGGGGTGGATAAGGTGGACTGGACTTTTTTTATGGGCCTTTCTTCTAACTTTAGGTCAACAAGTCTCTTATTTCTTCTTTTACTTAAGGTAATTTAAGATAATATATATGTATGTGTATAAAAATTAAAACGTCTAGAAAAACGCCTTGAAACGCCTAGGCTAGGCTTTGGGCCAGCGCCTAGAAACCGCCTAGCGCCTTCTTGAACTTTGATGTGAACTTGGATTGGAGGGAGGCCCTTCCCCATCCTGCTGAGCGTGTTGAGTTTGAATTTAGGACCAACAGCAATGATGAGTGTGACCCAAAGTGTGATAGTCAGATTGGTTTTGTCAAGAACTTCAAAGGAGCAGCACAGGTACTTGAGAAGAAGGGCTATATGGAATTCACTCCTCACTACATTACCTGGTATTGCCCACAGGCCTTCATTCTGAGCAAGCAGTGCAAGTCCCATTGCATCAATCACGGGAGAACAGGATTTTAGCAAAGGATATGATGGCAAACATGTGGTGGTCCAGAACGTGCACCAAGTTTGTGTCTTTAAGGTTGCTATAAGGAGCACAAAAAAGCCTTGGTTATGGTGGGACTATGTTACTATCCCAATGAAGGAAAAGAAGTACACAGAGGAGTGTGCCGATGGGTTATCAAGTCGCTTGGTATGTTGTATTTGTATATGGTTTTCTATGTTTTGTGGTGAGGTGCAAATCTACAGTATTTATAGTGAACTGGTTTATAATTTACAGGCCTTGATAAAAAAGCAATAGATAAATGTATTGGTGGTCCAGACACTGATGAAGAAAATCCTGATCTGAAAGCTGAACAAGATGCACAGGTTAGTACTTCAATGTGATTTTTTTTCTCTCTCGAACAAGCAGCAGAGCTGCTTACCATTATAATAAGAGGGAAAAAGGGAAAAGAACCCTTACAAACACCCCAAACTCACACCAAAGAAAAAGGGGAAAGTACTCCAATGTGTATGCGTGATCTTTTCTGTTCATCCTATTCTTGGTCTGAACGCATCACCATCATCCACTTTGTATAGATTGGCAAGGGCTCTCGTGATGATGTTACCATCTTACCAACTCTTTTTCTCAAAAACACAGGAGAACTATGTTTCATTATATTTAGAAGAAAAAAAGGGGAAGAGTCCCCTGATATAACACACACCACACAAAAAATCAAAAATACATGCGCGCCTGCAGAAAACAAGAGGCGGCCAAGCTATATTAGCTCTAGACTACAAAAAAAGCTACTAGGGGAGGGGGAGGGGAAGCCAAGGAAAATAGCCCCCGCGCCCAAGCCAAAGCCCACAGCCGACTCTCCTCCAAAGCAGAACCCAAAGCTCCAACCATGCTGGGAGTAGCTCCATCAGAAACACATCTATTGCGGTGATTCCACAAGGTCCAAGCTCCTACGATCACAAGAGAGTTGAACCCTTTCCTTGTTAACCCAGCAACGGTACTGCTTGAATTTTCCCACCACAAATCAAAAGAAGAATCTGTAAGTCGTGGACATAATTGATGGATCCCAAAATGTTGGAGTAGAAAGAACCAGAACTGCCGAGCAAAGACACAAGACACAAACAGATGATTAATGGCTTCCTCTTGATCACAGAGAGGGCACTGTGCCGGGTGTGGCAGTCCCCTCCTTGC